CATAATGATAATACTTATAATAACAATAATAATAGTGATACTAATAGATACACAAATTAATCATCTAAAACGTAAGAAAAAACAAAACATGAGGCATCGAATCCAGTCAATTCCACTCGAATGCTAAGTCGAGACCGTTAACCCCTTCGGAGCGGCCGTGGATCCTTTTCATCCGGTCTTCAATAACGGACACAACAAGGCGCTCATGCCATCTCTGCGTGCGATGCCTACTTGGTATGGTGTTACGCCAGGCTCTCTCGTGAAAGTATTTTCTTAGGAGTAAAATGCAGTGGATATCTTGCACTGTTTTTTATTCCTGGCGCGATATGTTTTTTTTTTTTTTTTTTTTTGGAAAAGTGAGGAGTTGAATAAGCCGTTGGATTTTTTTTTTTTATGGATTAAAGTCTTTATTTCTCTTACTTTTCAGAATTTGTTTTCATCGTGGTTTGGATTTATAAAGGTTGATTGCTGTTAGTTAACTTGAGATTAAATATTTTTAGATTTTTTTTTTAACGATGATTCGATTCATAAAACAAAATCGAATGAAAAAGTACACATGTCTTTCATTAACCCATTCGCCGCGGATGGCAAGAATAGATGCCATACCCACTTTGATACACGTTTATTTATTGTATTTACACATAGATGGCTCTACAAGTTCTTAATCACCAAATAGCCAGTTATCAAGAACTACCTATTTCACCTGTTTAGCCTTTTCCTTCACTTTCGGAAAGGGTTTTTTGTATCATCTTATTGTCAAAAATATTCTAATGACAATTCAATCATCATAACATCAGTAACAATAATAACAGCATCGAAAGCAATGATATTAATTTTCCCGCCAATTCAATGAATGGGAAAATCAGGGTCGGTAACTAGGGCCTACTGATAGACTCCTTGCCGGCTAAGTACATGTGAAGCCATCTGTAGGTAGCAAAATTCACCAAAACCAACAGGGGACAGAACATAAATCCGTGGCGAATGGGTTAAAATATTTGTATATCTGTTATTGTTTATACACACACACACACACACACACGCACACACACACACACACACACACACACACATACACATATATATATATATATATATATATATATATATATATATATATATATATTTGTTTTTTTTCTTCATTTGATAAGAATGAAAATGTGATTTCAACTTTTTAAAATTACTTTCAAACAAAAATAATGAGGCCGTTCGTTACACCAATAAATTCAAAAGTGTGACGAAAAGATATAACGAGGAAAGATATATATATGTTATCTTTATAAAATGATGTATTTGTCCTGATAAAACTCGACAAATTCTGAGAGACACCATCAGCTAAAAAACAAAGCAAAAAAACACCCGGCCCTTTTTTTTATCATTCTCATCAACCAAAACATCATGCAAAAGTCACATAAATATTCCACGCGCACGGGCGGGGAGGGATCACGACAATAAAAATAAATGAATGGATAATTAGGCGAAAAAGCAAATAACTCGCGAATTATATCCGACTTACCATTCACACACACAAAAAAAAAAAAAAAAAAAACATCTTGACCATATGAAGAACTTCGAATAGCCTGTTAATTTCTTCACCGTTATTTCAGGGTTAAATAAACTACAGAAATCGATTCCTTTCATCAACATTCACAACATTGTCTCCTTGTGGTCCGTTTGTAAATAAATATGTAAACAACTTTTTTTTTCTCTCTAAGGCACGAATTCTCGATGTAAAACATCTATTTGATTTCAGAGTAGATATGAAGATTTTTCTTTCTTTACATACACTAAGGGTGAAATCTGATGGGTGTTTTAACGTGTCGAAAAGTTTCAAGGGGAAATATTTTGTCTAAAGCAGATTTGTTGCTATGCGTTATATTCCAAATGTATTTCCTTGAACTGTGATTTTTGTATAAGGTGCAGCATTGAAGTTTTACCATTTTCGCGATTTCTAAAAGGAATCATTGATAAACTTATTTCTCTGAAAATTAAGATTAGAATTTAGACGCGAAACGTTCTGACAAAGATGCGTAGATTTTACATGGCCTGTGATAATGAATTTCACCGTAACATGGCTTAAACTGCACAAACACACCCTTGTAGAAAGAATGTATCGTTTAGATAGTACTTATCTACTATTCATCTACTTATATACATACACACACACACCACACACACACACACACACACACACACACACACACACACACACACACATATATATATATATATATATATATATATATATATATATATATATATATATATATATATATGTGTGTGTGTGTGTGTGTGTGTGTGTGTATGAGCGCGTATGTATGTATGTATGTATGTATATACACACACACACACACACACACACACACACACATATATATATATATGTATGTATATATATATAATGTATATTTGTGTATATATATAATATAAATATATATAAATATATATATGTATATGTATGTATGTATGTATATATATGCACATACACACACAAACATATTATATATATTATATATATAAGCATATATATATGCATATATATGCATATATAAATATATATATATATATATATATATATATATATATATATATATATATATATATATTATATACATATATATATATATATATATATATGTGTATGTATATATATATATATATATATATATATATATATATATATATATATATATATATATATATATATATATATATATATATATATATATATATATATATATATATATATATATATATATATATATATGAATATACATATATATATATATATATATATATATATATATATATATATATATATATATATATATATATATATATGAATATACATATATATATATATATATATATATATATATATATATATATATATATATATATATATATATATATATATATATATGTATGTATATTCATATATATATATATATATATATATATATATATATATATATATATATATATATATATATATATATATATATATATATGTATATTCATATATATATATATATATATATATATATATATATATATATATATATATATATATATATTTATATATATATATATATATATATATATATATATATATATATATATATATATATATATATACACATACACACACAAACATATTGTATATATTATATATATAAGCATATATATATGTATATATATATATATATATATATATATATATATATATATATATATATATATATATATATATATATGTATATTCATATATTCATATATATATATATATATATATATATATATATATATATATATATATATATATATATATACATATATATATATATATATATATATATATATATATATATATATATATATATATATATGTATATTCATATATGTATATATGTATATATATATATATATATATATATATATATATATATATATATATATGTGTGTGTGTGTGTGTGTGTGTGTGTGTGTGTGTGTGTGTGTGTGTGTGTGTGTGTGTATCTGTATATATATGTATGCATATATATACATTTATATACACATATTTGTACACACACACACACACTGTATATGTATATATATATATATAGATAGATAGATAAATAGGTAGATAGATAGATATATGTTTATATATATACACATATGTATATGTATATATATATATATATATATATATATATATATATATATATATATATATATATACATAAAAAAATATATATATGTATATGTATACATATGTACATGTATATACAAATGCACAAATACATATATATTTACACATATGCATACGCATATACACACACATATAAAGTGCAGGAACAAGAGCGGTGTGAAATGTGCGGGCGCGGATGTAACCTGAGAGGCCGGGCATGGGCGTGAATACCGGCATAAACCAAGCAATGGGCGGGAACAACTTGAGCATACAATGAGCTATAGGCCCCTTCGCAGTGTTTCACTTATTTAAATTAATGTATTACCGCGGAAAAATAGAAATGAATTATATTAAGAATTGTATCTTAAAAAAGGTAATGATAATAATAAAGGTAATGATAAATAATTACAATTAAAAAAGAGAAGTCGATGAAACATGTATGGACACAAGCTCGAAGTCGACGTTTTGAGGGCCAAAATGGAGGATGATAAACCGGCCCGGTGATTGACACGCGGTTTTTTTTGTCTATCTGTATCTACCACATCCTCAGACATTTCGTAATCCTTCTAACTCTTCCTATACATCCTTTCGCTGATCTTCTTCTTATTATTATTCTTCTTTGGCTCTTAACATCATCGTCTTGGAAGTCTGTCTAACGTTTTTTTTCCCGCGTTCTCGAGGCTCCCGGCGATGGCGAGATGATCGTCCTCGATTGAAGTGACAAAATGGCCGACGGATGAGAAAAAGGCATGGCCGATGATCCTCGCTTAGCTTCCGTGTGGCATCATAGAGGTGATGAGGAGAGAAGGATGGAGGGAAGGGGGGGGGTGAAGAATACAGGTGCCGGCTTTTCTATCTGTGCTTACATGGGATAACGTTATATATAACATTTTATCCATCTCATTCATCCTTCAAATATTTCCTAAAAAAGTATTGTATTGATTTTGATATGTTTTTGTGAATCGTGTGTTGGATACATATTTATTTTTTGCTAATGTGTTCAATATCTTTTTTCAAGAAAGATAATGTAAAATGGATTTATCTTTGTGATACACAATCCGAGTCTCCGATTCATATATGTACCTTTATATATATATTTTTTCCTCAGATTAGTTACGTATCATGCTATGGCTGCCCTCGCGCCCTCACTCTCAACCGGTGTTATTTCCAAACGTCATATGACTCGAGACCGTTTTTCAAAGATCTATGCTTACTGAAGGGCCCTGCATGAGAGGAGGTGCCCACAACCCTTACGCTCGGTCCGGGGCCCGGGCGAGGGTGTCTCGTGACCGCCCCGCATGGAGCCACGCGCCCACACTGCCCTCAGCAT